TGGAAGTTGAAGACCCAGAAGAGTCAGAGCGATGTTAAGAAGTATTTCTTCAGTCAAAAGAGTAGTCAGGAAGTGGAATAGCCTAGCAAGTGACGTAGTGGAGGCAGGAACCATACATAGTTTTAAGATGAGGTATGATAAAACTCATGGAGCAGGGAGAGAGAGGACCTAGTAGCGTTCAGAAAAGAGGCGGGGCCAGGAGCTGAGTCTCGACCCCTGCAACCACAATTAGGTGAGTACACACACACCACACACACACACACACACACACACACACACACAACACACACACACACACACACACACACACACACACACACAGCTTTAAAATCAAGAACAATGTCTAAAAACATTCGCATAACATAAACATTAAACTCATTCTCAGACAAACATGGCAACATAAACAAACATAAAACGTCGAAGAGGTTTACGTTTTTTTCATAAGCAGCAAAAAAAAAATGATAAACACTGGGGAAAATCTGTGTGATAAAAATATCGATAATTGGTAAACAAAATCTTACCTAAGCTAACCCAGCCTAACCTAACTTAACTTAGCCTAACCTAACTTAACTTAGCCTAACCTAACCTAACTTAGCCTAACCTAACCTAACTTAGCCTAACCTAACCTAACTTAGCCTAACCTAACCTAACCTAACCTAACCTAACCTAACCTAACTTAACTTAGCCTAACCTAACCTAACTTAGCCTAACCTAACCTAACTTAGCCAAACCTAACCAAACCCTAACCTAACTTAGCCAACCTAACCTAACTTAGCCTAACCTAACCTTTAAACCTAACTAACTTAACTTAGCCTAACCTAATTTAAAACTTAGCCTAACCTAACTAAACTTCCCTAACCTAACCTAACTTAGCCTAACCTAACCTAACTAACCTAACCTAACCTAACCAAACCCAAAAACCCAAACCCTAACTTAACTAGCTAACCTAACCTAACTTAGCCTAACCTAACCTAACCAAACCCAAAACCCAAAACCCAAAACCCAAAACAAACAAACCAAACTAACCTAACCTAACCTAACCAAACCCTAACCTAACTTAACTTAGCCTAACCTAACCTAACTTAGCCTAACCTACCTAACCTAACAAACTAACCTAACCTAACCTAACCTAACTTAACTTAGCCAAACCCTAACCTAACTTGCCAAACCCTAACCTAACCTAACCAAACCCAAAACCCAAAAACCTAACCTAACCTAACTTAGCCTAACCTAACCTAACCTAACTTAACTTGCCAAACCTAACCTAACTTAGCCTAACCTAACCTAACCTAACCTAACCAAACCAACCAAAACAAACTAACCTAACCAAACCTAACCTAACTTAGCTAACCAAACCTAACCTAACTTAACTTAGCCTAACCTACCTAACTTGGGCCTAACCAAACCCTAACTTAACTTAGCCAAAACCTAACCTACTTAGCCTAACCTAAAACCAAACCCTAACCTAACAACCTAACTAACTTAACTTAGCCAAACCTAACCTAACTTAGCCTAACCTAACCTAACTTAACTTAGCCTAACCTAACCTAACAACCTAACCTAACCTAACCAAACCCTAACCAAACTTAGCCTAACCTAACCTAACTTAGGCCTAACCTAACCTAACCTAACTTAGCCTAGCCTAACTAACCTAACCTAACCAAACCAAAACTAACCAAACCTAACCTAACTAACCTAACCTAACCTAACTAACTTAGCCTAACCTACCTAACCTAAACTTAGCCTAGCCTAACCTAACCTAACCTAACCAAACCTAACCTAACCTAACCTAACCTAACCTAACCTAACCTAACCTAACTTAGCCTAACCTAACCTAACCTAACTTAGCCTAGCCTAACCTAACCTAACCTAACCAAACCTAACCTAACCTAACCTAACCTAACCTAACCTAACCTAATCTAACCTACAGCCTAACCTAACTACCTAACCTAAACCCTAACCTAACCCAGCCTAACCTAACCTAACCTAACCTAACCTAAACCTAAACTAACCTAACCTAAACTAAACCTAACTTATCCTAATCTGAACTAACCTAAGCTAAAACTATCCTAACCTAACCTAAACTAACTGAACCTAACCTAACAATAACAACCAACTAACTAAGATCGTAGCTTTATTATGTGGTGTGTGTGTGTGTGTGTGTGTGAAGATGTGTGTGTGGTTGGTTTGTGTGGTGGTGCCCCACCAAAGGCCGGTCGTGCCGATCACGCCGGTCTTTGGTTCGTACGTTAGACTGCGTGCGGCCAGCAGTATAGCCCTGGTTGATCAGGCCACTGATCCACCGGGAAGGCCTGGTTTGGACCGGGCCGCGGGCCGTGATCCCCGAATACCTCCAGGTAGACCCCAGGTTAGGCAGGAACCTAAACTAACCTACTCTACCCTAACTAACTAACTACTTACCCAACTAACTTAACGCTACTCTAACCCCTAACTTAGACTACCAAACTACCTAACTGAACACGAAGTGTTAAAATAGGATGATTTTACGAGCATCATAGCTGGGACTTGACTGCATGAGGAACATCAGCTATTTCCCTGCTGGGTGATAGCACAGCAGCAGCTGTGTCCCTGCTGGGTGATAGCACAGCAGCAGCTGTGTCCCTGCTGGGTGATAGCACAGCAGCAGCAGGTCTCCTGGTGCTGGTTGTGTCACTCTTCACAGCTGTGTAGTCCAGGAACTCAAGGTGATGTGTCCTTGTCAGTGACTGTCGATGTTTACACGGAAGAATGGACGAAGGACTCGAACTGTGTTCTATTGCACGGCCTGCGGTGCACGGCCTACAGTGCACGGCCTGCGGTGTACGGCCTGCAGTGCACGGCCTGCAGTGCAGTGTAGCTGACGTCAGCTTCTGCAGTTGTCTCCCTTTGATGAGCCGTCTCTACCAATATTACACTCTGATGACTGCCTGGGGAGGGAGAGGAGGAGGAGGGAGGTGAGAGACAGGGAGAGAAGATTGAAGGTGAAGGAGAAGGAAGAGAAAGGGGAAGAAGTGGGAAAGTGAAGGAGGAAAGGGTGAGGAAGGAGGAAAGGGAGATGAAAGAGTAGAGAGGGAGGGAGGTAAGGAAGGAACGAACAAGTGCATTAGAAAAAAAAAATGGAATCGTGTCGTAGAAATCGGGGTCTCTCGTTTGACCATTTGAGTGACCTGCGAGGTCTCTTGTGTCCATCTCTGAGTCTGTTCTTCAGGAGGCCTCTGCCTTCTCTTGTTTTGGTCAGAGATTCTCTTGTTTTGGTCAGATACACTCTTGTTTTGGTCAGCGATTCTCTTGTTTTGGTCAGAGATTCTCTTGTTTTGGTCAGAGATTCTCTTGTTTTGGTCAGAGATTCTCTTGTTTTGGTCAGAGATTCTTTGTTTTGGTCAGAGACTCATTTGTTTTGGTCAGAGACTCTTGTTTTGGGTAGAGATTCTCTTGTCTTGGGTCGAGATTCTCATGTTTTGGTCAGAGATTAGAGAATATTTTCTGTGACATGGATTTAACTCAAGCTGGTGCAGAGTTCACTATGATTTGTCTGGTGTCATAGATTACGTTGTGTCAGGCCTGGTCAAGGACTTTATCGCGGGGGCGTTGACCCCCGGTCCAGTTAGTTTGGTGCAGTTAGCCAGATTGGGGTTCTGGGGTATATCAAAGGTTCTAATAAGATATGTGTTACATTAATATTATAAATGTTTCAAAGAGCTTGCCCGCCTGTGAGTGTTCTTTCTTTAACTCAGTTGATCAGTAGTTATTTTTAAAGCGGATGTTTTCTGCAATAATGTTTCGTCTTGTGTTTTACCGTGTGTTTTACCGTGTGTTTTACCGTGTGTACAGTCTACGTGTAGAACATTTCGTTTAGATGAGAAAGATTTTGTACAGGTTATAATTTGGTAATGTATATCTGTTTAAGAAATATGTCTCTGCTAATTTTGTTTGTTCTTGCTGTTGTATTTGTTGCCATTGATCATGGGTTGTTAATAAGCGATCTTTTCAGCTTTGACCTTATGAACACCACATTGTTACTTTCGAACTCGCGCCTGTTATATCAAACAGTAATCAATGATTCTGTATCTGAGTCGTCGTCTTTGTACTTATGGCTCTGTTCTTGGGCCGCAACTGTTTACCGTTCGTGGATGTTGACACCCGAGCATATTTTACATCAGCAACCATAATTATTGCAATTCCAACGGGAATTAAAATCTTCAGGTGATTAAGAACTCTCCAAGGTTCCCAATTCGTGAAAAAACTTACCCTTACTGTTAGGTGGACATGGGTTTAAATTATGATTTTCATAGTGACGATACACGAGGCTGCATCCAGGGTATTAATTTGGGAGATACAAAACTTTGTTGCACTTCTGGTTATTCAGACTTGTATGACAAATAGAAACTTAAGACTAAATGGGTATAAGACAGAAGTTTTGATTGCCAAGAAAAGCCTCACTTGGGGTAGAGATTGATGGAGAGTTTTAGTGACCTTGACTGTGTTAGTCAGGTTGCAGCCACGTGAAGGTCTGGGCGTCCACTTAGACTCTTCCACGTCACTTGTTGGACACCTCAACCAAATTGTTAAATTCTGCAATTTTCTTATTTGTAATTTATATACAGTTTTGAAATATCTTGATAAGCAGTGTCTTGAGAACATAAGAAAGAGCACTGCAGAAGGCCTACTGGCCCGTGCTAGGCAAGTCTTGGTCCTTATCCACGCGCCTATTTCCTTTCAAATTGATTTTTTTGCAATTGTTTGTTGGTTGCTTGGCCTAACTAGCTGAAAAAAATTCGGTTTGAGGTGAGAGGAGGTTAGGACGGAGCAGCAGGTGAACGGAGGTTAGGGCGGGGCAGCAGGTGGTGGCAGGGCAGCAGGTGAGGGCAGATGAGGGCGGGGCGTCAACAGGTGGCGCCGCTCACCTGTGCTCTGATCAATGCTTGCTGCCTCCTGCCCTCCACCTGATCAATACGTGTTGACTACCAGCTTACACTAACCTGTGTTTCTTTCACCCGCAGGCGGCTCTACGAGGCTCGGGAGGTGACGACGCTGGAGCTGCGGCCGCCGCCAGCGGACCTCCTCCTGCCCAAAGTGAAGGAGCAGGAGAGTGGCGTGCTGGAGGGTGTGGGCGTGAGGGAGGAGGAGGAGAGGCGTGTGGCTATACGCATCAAGCTGTGTGGAGAGTGCGGTGCGCGTCACGTAGCAGGAACGTGTCCGTTCTCTCGCCCCACCCACGTTCTCCCGGACACATGCTCGCCGCCCACACACGACCTGCCGCAGCAGAACGGCGTGATCGTAGCCCCGCCCCACCGAGACTCCCCCGTCAATCTCTCCGGACGGGAGGAGGAACGTGAGGGAGAAACGTGGCGGGATCCACAGCGCCCCGGCTCGCCAACCTGCTACGCTAGAACCAGCCTTCCCCCGGGCCTCTCCCTCGAACGTCGCGTCCTCCCGCCGCCGCAGGACAGCTCCGTCGATAGCGACAGCGACGTAGGCGTGATGGGCGTGACGCAAGTGCCCGGGCGGCAGGTGGAGGTGGTGGTGGCACGGGCGGCACTCACCAGATACACTCAACTTGGCCCTGTCGTAGGAGTACCTGTCAGAGAGAGAGACATACCTGACGACTTCTGCATGGTCAACCTGTGGGAGGTGAGTGCTCAACCATCGCTCTCTAAGAGAGGTTCTTCATCAAGGGAACTGGAGCTACTCTCTCCAGCCTAGAATGACGCCTCATTATCTCTCCTTTCTCCTTACATCATACCCATTATACTCTTCACTTATAAATTCATCTCTCTCACCTATCCACCCTGCCAGGCATGATAACTGATAACATGATTATCCAGCGAGTAATGATAACACAGTCAACATAGCTCTTCCTGCCAATGGTAACTAAGATAACCTCGCCAACATAGCAGCTCTCACCAAGTACTGCAGTCATGACGAATCACCTCCGTTGTTAATAATTCCGTTACTGAGGTCATCGCCCATACCTGGCGATGATGAGGCGGTGGGCGGGAATGAGCGGGCGTGAGAGGCTCTAGGGGTAGCAGTGCCGCCCTCAGAATGTTGGAGGGGTTGTTAGAGGGGAGGATAAAGAGGGATTATATCAAGTATACCTCATTCTGGGGCGGGATTACACCTACCAAGTCTTCCTTTAGGGGGATTACACCAACCAATCTTTCCTTTAGGATTACACTCACGAAATCTTTTAGGGAGATTTACACCCACCAAATTTTCCTTTGGGTAGGATTATACTAACCAGACCTTTCCTTGGGGCGGGATTACTCCCAATGCTAGACATATAATCCATTTTTTTACAAAAATACTTTCATACAAAAATACTTTCATACAAAAATACTTTCGTTGATAAGGATTTATTTTAGGTGAAGAGCATGGAAGAATCTGAGGGTAATAGATAATAGAACAAGACACATAGGTATCGTAAGAAAGAATTTTCTTGTAAGGGTATTTATGTTGTGTAGGTGAAGAGCGAGAATGGATTATGGAGGGTAAGTAGGGTTGAGCGAGGACAGAGGTGTGAAACGAGGAAGTAGTTCTGAGCGAGATTGTAGGAGGGTAGGTTTTGGCAGGTAGGAGATGGGTGTCTAGTGTCTAGGAGTGGACAAAGTAGGTGTGGGGAGAGGAATCACTAGGTGTGGGTCTTCCAGCGAACAGGTAGTGGAGGGTCGACTCAACTGGTTAGGTGTTTGTTCATGCAGGAGGTGGTCACCTGTGGGAGAGTACTCAAGTGGGTCTCTAGGTGAGACAGGGAGGAGGAAGGTAGTGTGAGGGAGGGAAGGAAGGTAGGTGTGAGGGAGGGAAGGAGGTAGCTGTGAGGGAGGAAGGAGGTAGGTGTGAGGGAGGGAAGGAAGGTAGGTGTGAGGGAGGGAAGGAAGGTAGGTGTGAGGGAGGGAAGGAAGGTAGGTGTGAGGGAGGGAAGGAAGGTAGGTGTGAGGGAGGGAAGGAGGTAGGTGTGAGGAGGGAAGGAAGGTAGGTGTGAGGGAGGGAAGGAAGGTAGGTGTGAGGAGGGAAGGAAGGTAGGTGTGAGGGAGGGAAGGAAGGTAGGTGTGAGGAGGGAAGGAAGGTAGGTGTGAGGGAGGGAAGGAGGTAGGTGTGAGGGAGGGAAGGAAGGTAGGTGTGAGGAGGGAAGGAAGGTAGGTGTGAGGGAGGGAAGGAAGGTAGGTGTGAGGGAGGGAAGGAAGGTAGGTGTGAGGGAGGGAAGGAAGGTAGGTGTGAGGGAGGGAAGGAAGGTAGGTGTGAGGGAGGGAAGGATAGGTAGGTGTGAGGGAGCTAAGGAAGGTAGGTGTGAGGGAGGAAGGAAGGTAGGTGTGGGGGAAAGGAGGAGGGAAGGTAGGTGTGGAGGGAGCTAAGGAAGGTAGGTGTGAGGGAGCTAAGGAAGGTAGGTGTGAGGGAGCTAAGGAAGGTAGGTGTAAGGGAGGGAAGGAAGGTAGGTGTGAAGGAGTTGTGGAAGGTAGGTGTGAGGGAGTAAGAAGGAGGTGTGAGGGAGGGAAGGAAGGTAGGTGTAAGGGAGGGAAGGAAGGTAGGTGTGGGGAGGCAGGAGGAGGTAGGTGTGAGGGGGAAGGAAGGTGGTGAAGGAGGGAAGAAGGCAGTGTGAGGGAGGCAGGAAGCAGTGTGGAAGGAAGGAAGGTGTGTAAGGGAGGGAAGGAAGGTAGGTGTGGAGGAGGGAAGGGGGAAGGTAGGTGTAAGGGACGGAAGGAAGGTAGGTGTGAGGGAGGGAAGGAAGGTAGGTGTAAGGGAGGGATGGAAGGCAGGTGTGAGGGAGGAAAGGAAGGTAGGTGTGAGGGAGGGAATTAAAAGTGACTTGAGAGAAGGGTGAGAGGGATAAGCGGTGAGTGGTGGAAAGGATTGAGGTAATTCAGAGAGATGAGAGGGAGATCAAACAAGAGAGGAGAGGGAGAGGGAGATCAAACAGGAGAGGAGAGGGAGAGGGAGATCAGACAGGAGAAGGAGAGGGAGATCAGACAGGAGAGAGGAGAGGGAGATCAGACAGGAGAGGAGAGGGAGATCAGACAGGAGAGGAGAGGGAGAGGGAGATCAGACTGGAGAGGAGGGAGAGGGAGATCAAACAGGAGAGGAAAGGGAGAGGGAGATCAAACAAGAGAGGAGAGGGAGAGGGGGATCAAACAAGAGGAAAGGGAGATCAAACAAGAGAGGAGAGGAGATCAGACAAGAGAGGGAGAGGGAGAGGTAAGAGGCGTAAGTGGTGAGAACCTAGGAGAATAATGGAGGAAGGGAGGGGAGGAAAGGAAGGTAGGAAGAGAGGAAGGGTAGGAAAGGAGGGTAGGTAGGGAGGGAAGGTAGGATGGAAGGGAGAGATGATAGGAGGTGAAGGAGAAAGGATAGGGAGGGAGAAAAGGTTGGAAGGGAAGGAGGGAGGGTAGCAAAGGAAGGGATAGAGGGTAGAAAGGGAAAGAGGGAGGTAGGGCGGGAAGGAGGGTAAATATAGAGAAATATCATGTAAAGAGAGCCTTGTATTCCCCTCGTTTTCATGTGTCCCTCTTTTTTTTTTTTTTTTTTTTACACAGGGTTTGACAAGGTTAAGGATCCCTAGCTTTATTGACAAGCTATTTACAGGTTAAGGATTCCTAACTTTATTGGCAAGCTAAGAGCTGTTACCTACATCAGCTCATTTGAAAGCATTTTTATTGTTATGAGACATACAAGTAAGGAACAGGATGAAGTTGGAGCCATCTGTGGGCCAGCATTTTTATTTGATCAGCTGACTTTATCTCGTTGACATCATTATGCTGTACGAATGTGCTCCATACTCGAGTCATCCTGGGTATATAGGATCTCAGATGGAGTGATGTTCTGGAAAAAGGTACAGCCAGAGTGAAGTTGCTGCTTTCTGCCCGTCTTGTGGCATAAAAGCTTGCTTCACGCTGTTCTCGAAGTGGATCTAAGTGTGGTACTTTGACAATATTGGCCTTGTACATAACAGTTGAAGGCTCTGCTGAAATGACAGATCTATCCAGGATGGGTCCAGGCGAGAGATGAGACGTCTTGCTCTGTTCTCTACTCTGTCAAGCAGTCGCAGATGAGAGGGGGGGGGAGGCAAACCAAGAAAGTGGAGCATACTCAAGGTGTGAGCGTACTTGTACCTCGTACAGAATCTTGCAACCCCTACTGTCAAGCAGATGCGAGATACGGCGAAGTGCTGTAAGCTTCCTGGCTGCCTTGTTTGCAAGATTTACAATATGGTTCTTCATTGTTAGTTTGGAGTCAAATTTCACCCCAAGAATATCAACTTCTCCAGGTGCCAACACCCTCCCATTCATCCTTACTACTGCACCAGCATTACCATCATGGTGCCTAGAGACGATCATCATTTGCATTTTCTCAGGTGCAATGTTACTTGCCATCCATTTCCCCAAGCTGATATAGCTCTCAGCTGGTGATTGATGTAGCTTAGAGCAGCTGGCATTTCTTCTCTTGGATAAGTGAATGTCAGTGTACAGTCGTCTGCATATGCATGTGATTCTGGGATGAGATGAAGAAGGTCGTTGAAGTAGACATTCCATAACAATGGTTCCAGTACGCTTCCTTGTGGAACACTTGCCCCAATAGGATGTCTTGCTGATTCCGTTCCATTGAGAACTACACCTACAGATCTACCATGAAGGTAATCCCAGTGCTTGAAGTTTTGCTAAGAGGCCCTGGTGCCACACCCGATCGAAAGCGCCAGCAATGTCCAGTACTACCACACAGCTGACTTTGGATTCATCCAGTGACTGGTGCCACTTAGTGGAGAGGTTTAACAACAGATCAGCAGCAGAGTAACCTTTCCTGAAGCCATATTGACGATCACAAAGTAGTGAGTGGTAGTCAAAAAACTCTCTCATTTGTCTTGAGATTATTGTCTCGAGGATCTTACCAGTGATTGACAGGAGTGGCACTGGTCTGTAGTTGCTGATTTCTGCTCTGCTCTTCTTTTTGTGAACAGGGACTACATTTGCCTCTTTCCATAGAGAGGGCCATTTACACTGTACTAGGCAGTGCTGAAAGATGCGAGTTTGAGGTGCTGCTAGCTGGTCTGCACATCTTCTCAGCAATCTTGGGCTCAACTTGTCTGGGGCCACAGCCTTTTCTTGGTCAAGCAATTTAAGAAGGAAATGCACCTCCTCCTGCCTTATTGTCACCACTGACAGTTTTGACACAGTTCTTGCAGCTAGCCAAGGAGGGTCCCTTGCTGGATCAGGAACTTGCATTTTGGTAACAAAGTGTTCAGCAAAGAGGTCCGCCTTTTCTTGACTACTAGTAGAGGTGGTCCCATCCTGTCGATTTAGAGGTGGAATGAGTTCATCAGGCAGATATCCTTGTCTGTCCTTGACCAGGTACCACCAGGTTTTGGAGCCTACCATACCTGATGCTAGCTTTCTTTTAGTGCCCACCTCCCATTTAGCAATGGCCCACTTTTGAACGCCACCCATATGCCTACAGGCTTGCCTGTGCAAGTTCCTGTTATAGGTAGTAGGATGTCTCCTATACATTCGCCATGCTTTGTACTTAGCAGTAGCAGCCTCTCTACAACGAAAGCCAAACCAAGGCTGATATGTAGGCTTCGTCACATATTGCCGGTGAGGAATATGTTCTTGTTGTAGATTAAGGATGTGTCCAGTGAAGGCTTT